ATATAAGATTCTGTATGGTTATGTTAAACTAGATTGCTCGAAATATTATAACTTTAGACTAAATTTGAATCCAACAAGAACTAATGGCTTAAAATTACTAAAACCTATATGCAAAACTAAACTAAGGACCCATGAATTCTTTATTCGTACTATTAACTACTGGAACAAATTACCGAACGATGTAGCTTGTGCGTCATCCCTAGCTGTCTTTAAAAAAAGACTAGATAATATCATTTACGATATTATTTAAAAACAAAAAAAAAAAAAGAGAAGAGTTTACACCAGGCAAGAACTGCAGGAAGTGAGAAATCTCGATTTTATCTTCAGGTTATATATGTTACCTCGAATTGTACTATATTATATTGATCTGTAATTTCCTCTTTAAATTATTAATTTCTGTCATATTGTTTTATAATTAATTTTGTTTATGTTATATATATATATAATTTTTTTTTTGTTTTGTGTTTTCTTTTTCTGTTATCTTAATTGTTATTATTAATACAAGCACATGGCCTTGTCGCCCTGCTTGGTTGGTTATCAATAAATAAATAAATAAATAAATAACCACAATAAAAAAATTCCTTTCTAACCATAATAAAATTCCTAGTGTCCTTTAGATGGTATGGATTCGAATCGTTTACCAGGAAACTCTGCGCAAGCTGCGATTGTCACTGCGTTCTTCTGGACGGAGATTTTTGATGTTATTTCTTGAATCTGTTGAAGCTACTTTTCTGGTTGAGCATCATCAGCCTTACCACCTCTACACGTTAGTCTTCACTTTCACTTTCTACATCTTTCCTAATCCCACTTTCAACTCCCCGTGATCTCTAGCACATCTCACATTATTTCTTGCTCCTGGCATTTCATATCGCTATATCTATCAGTATTGTTGTTTTCTGGTAAATTACCATGATGTCTGGTTGATTGGTTAATATTTGCTTATCCGTGTGAAAAGGAATGTTCCACAGGACATTATTATTCTCTACCACTTTCTATGGAATTTTCATCTGATCTTGGAAGGGTCTAAGTCATATATTGAATAGATTTTCCTGCACAATGCCAGCTATTTAGTTGTGCCGTTAAGTGTTGTTCCTGCCTGCGTCCTACCACTATATATTGGGTAGTATCTGAGGTTTTTCTGCACTCTGCCTTATATGGTAGATCTGCTCTTGTACTGTTGATCAAGCCTCAGTGTTGCATTTTAATCTAGTTTTTGTCAACAACTATTAGGACTTCTCAATGTTAGCTACCAGCTACCTCAGCTATCTATCGATGGCGCCTTTTGTTTGATGTTCCTCGAATGTCTACTGCTGGTGCATCAGTGGTTCAGTAACAAGATAATTGCCATTGAGAATGGAAGCTTGCATTCGGATTCGCCAGACGCACCACATCATCCTGCAGTAGTGTCGCTTAAACTGAGAAATTAAAGGAGATTAGAAGATCTCAGTGAATTCTTGTTCAACTCGGAGCATTTTTACTTCGGCAACAATAAACTTATTCAAGAATCTGGGTGGTGAAATCTGGGTGAAAAATCAAGTCGCCTTCCAACAAGTCACCTGTATATCTATCAACGAATTTCCTGACTTCCTGACTTATTTTCTACCCGAAAAGCTAGCGGAGCAAGTCAAACCAGCAGTGGTGAATTCCCTTCAAAAAAGAACTATTGCTTTAGATATTAAACAGATCTTGTTTCAACACCTAATCTTGTACCATATCATTGCTGTATTTCTGATTGCTTCGCCTTTCTTTCAAGATGGTGCTTTTAATCAATTAAGCTCAATTCGCCTTCTTTCCTGTTGTCCTTTAAATATTAAACTTGGGGATCTAAATATGAGGAAATATGAGGAAAAAAATCAGGAATGTAAGGAGTCTCAAGATTTTCACATCGACAGACTCCGTGTTTTCGTTTGGCTATTCCACTGTCCCATCACACTAGCACTGTATTAGATGATGGGTATATTTATATATGTTATATCAGAGACCTGGGAGATTGAGCACCGCAATATATATATATATTTAAAAATATAGAAATACTTATAACTTTGGTATCCAAGAGGAAACCACAATGAAGAAGCAAGGAATTGAACAATATCCAAATATCAACCCAAAAAAAGGCAAATCATAAAGGACAAACTCAAGGAGAAAAAGAAATCCAGGCCATAAACATTTTCGCCTTGCCAGTAATTAAATAAGTAGGTCTATGGTAAAATATCAAGAGAAGATATCAAGAGAATATCTGCATATCAAGAGAATACATGGAGGATGCCGATGTGGAGATCCAAAAACTCCTCATAAAGAACGGAAATTTTCACAAGTCTAACATTCAAAGACTGTGCACTGCTCGGAAGGGCCGGTAGAGTTTGATATGTATCAAAGCCACTATCTTGAAACCAAAGCATTCAGTCAGCACGATGGCACCAAAGGGTGAGTTAAGTAGAATGCCTGGAGCATCAGTATATTTGGAGAAAGACCAAGCAAAAGAAGCTATGCAAAGCAAGACTCTCCACAGGATGTACCATCAACAGATAGCTGAGGTGGTTGACATTGAAAAATTCTACCAGTGGCTGGAAAAAGTTGGGATAAAAGATGGAAATTGATCACAACAGGACAATTACTAAGCACCAGAATAAGGTGGAGACTACCATATTATGAAGGACTCAAAGTGCAGATATGCAGAAAAGTCTCAAAAACTGTCCGATACCTAGTTGCAGGATGCAAAAGCAGAAAAAACGTTCAGAAAGGCATAACCAAATAGCTGGCATTCTCTATAGAACATCTGTTCAGTGTGTGGCATAGACCCTCCCATGACCAGATGAGAAATTCCATGAGATGAAAGACAGAAGGTCATGGAAAATAAATGGGCTAAGACCTTTTGCGACATTCCGGTTCTGACAAGGAAGCACAGGTCAATCAATCAGATATCTGGTAATTGACAAGAAGCAGAAAATAGCAGTAGTGATAGATATAGCAATGTCAAATGCCAAAAGCATCTAGAAGAAAAAATATGAGAAGCTGTTCCAGTAAAATGATTAAAATTTTGAGAAATTTTTGTTGCTTTATTTTCATTTCGTTAAAAAGAGAGCCGTGGCGATTATCGAGAGCTGAAGGAGGAATTAGAGAAGATGAAAGATCAAAAGTAGTCCAGTGGTAATAGGAGTAGTCACTCCAAAGCTTTGGAAAAGATTCCAGATTCCAGCTAAGATATTGCACAGCACCCTCTCTCAGGTAGCACTCCCAGGTAAGAGACATGAGGATGAGGATGGTCCATGGCATACATAGTAGGTGCGAAATTTTTTTATATGTTTTCAAAGTATAGTCCACTATCATCGTCGTATATCAATGATCATTTTTGCCAACGTTAAGTGCATATGATTCATTAATTTCTGTCCAGATTTATTATTTGATGGATTTGTCCGAAATATTTTCTGAAAATTAGTCAATTTAAAAAAAGTAGTTAATTTTTTAAAATTTTTTAAATTTTTTAAAATTTAAAAAAATTTTTTATATTATATTAAAATAGTTTCCTAAAATTTTTATTGAAATTTCTCATAAATCTGCAAATAATTAAACTGAACTTGAACTGAATAATAATTAAATTTTTTTTAAATAGAAGTGTTAATTGGTTCCAGTAAAATAATTAAAATTTTGAGAAATTTTTGTTGTTTTATCTTCGTTTCGTTGAAAAAGGAGAGAAATTTTGAGATCGATTTTCAGTCGGAAAATTTCGACTTTGTACCCTTTTCAGTTGTTATAATTTGTGCAAAGAAAATTCTTTCTTTCATAGTTATTTGGTGATAACAATACAAAAAATATTTTTTCATAAAAAAATTTTTATTTTGTTTCCAATTTATGATTTATATTTCCGATTTTACTTTTAAGAATTTGAGAATAAACTTAGCAATTTAACAAAGAATATTTTTAAAAAATAATTAAGAATTTTTCAAATTTCTCTTGGAAAATAACTTAAATTTTAATTTAGGCACTCTTTCTGATTTCTATTAATCATTTCTATTAGTTATTTTTTATCATTCGATAAAATCATTGCAGATTGCATAAGAAAAATTGCATATTTAAAACAAGTAATTTGGATATTAATTCCAAAATTTTTTGTTGTTATTTCTGTTATTTCAGTTCTTTCCTTTCTGTACGCAAATGTTTTGTCCTGTTGTTATTTAATACTGCAATTCTCTAACAAACTTCAAAAGTACTTGATAAATGATTTCAGAATATTTTGTTTTCATATTGATATTGATAAAATTATTGATAAAATAATCAACAGTAGTAGGTTATCGAATGATATCTACAAGTGCAATTTGGTAAATTTTTGGTTCAGTGTTTTTGTTCAATCTTAAGATGAATGAGCAACATATATTTTTCTTTCTAAGACAGCACACAAATCTTACAACACTTACATACACATATAGATAGTTGCATATAGACGCATACATTTGGTTTTTTGATTCGGTTGGTTTTGTCAAAGAATTACTTGAGGGAAGAACCACATGGCCAGTGGGTTTCCAGCATCACCTGAATTCCACTTTTAATGAACAGATTGTCCATCAAATTACAACAATAGAAATTTCAGTGGGATGAACATACCACTTGACCATTTTTTCCTCTCACATAACCAATTGTCTAAAAGGAAAGAAGGAATTATCCAATTTCTTCAATTCATTTCGATTTATTCAATCCTCTCTATGATAAATTCATTTTATTTGCTTGCTAATTGCTGATTTCAGTTTTCTGAACAATCGCTTGCTAAGAACGTTCTCTTCTAAAAGTGCTCTTAAAGAATGCTCTTTTCCGTCTCTTCAAAATCTATCCGCAAAGAATATTCAGAAAATATTCCATTCTATTTATTGATTTCGACATAAAAAAAGATAAAAGGCAAAAGCCTTGAACCTAATGAAGAATGCTTTAAATAAATTTTAGTATTTTGACCAAGTATTAATCGAACGTTGTGACGTAATTGTGACGTAAAAAATGCATATTTACTGAATTTATTCAGGGCACCCTTCATAATATTTTATGACAGTTGTCTCTAATCCAATTTGAACAGCCTGCCGATTTCCGCGAATTGTTGTTTCAAAATTCAGTGCACCTGTTTGAGATGCGATTATACAATGCGAATATTCGATAAAGTGCTTTTTTACGTCACAATAAAGCACGAACATCGAATGAAAAGGCAAAAATTTCTTTTCGTGAACAGTGCTCATTCGCTAAAACTTCTTATTTTTCCCCTCTTTTAACGCATTATCACTTTATTTTTCTATTTTAATTATTTAATTCTAAAAACAATAATATCTGTAAGAAAAATGAGAATTTACTAAGATTTTTAAAAGAATAATATTCGACATATACTCGCTTTTTCGTCCTTTCTTGCAATTCTATACTTATTCGTTTATTTATTTATGAAAATGTTTTATATCAGAAAGAATAACTAAGCAGTCGGTGGTCGGTGTCTTGCCAAGTGGTGTATTCTGCTGTGTAAATTGTTACTAGTTTCGACGAGAGTAAAATATTATCGGAAATCATGTTTTTATCTCCATATGATTCTCTAATCAAAGAACCATGCAGTGGATTCGAAATGGTGAGCGCTTATGGTGCCGAGAATTCTAATGGAAGAATATGAATAAGGAAAGATTTTTGATTCATACCTGTTGATGGGGAGTCATTTAGTTTGTCACTTTGACTATTAAGTTCAAGCATAATGAATTCGACTTATGGTCTTTGATAGAAGTCAGAGTGATAGCTAGCAGGTTAATCTAAGTGGAATATTTGCAAAACAACGAAATATTTATGGATCATATTGGCGGTTTGAGTGCAAAAAGTTTGTATGAGTTGCTTTTGAATTTTTCGTGGAATTAGAGGTTCTTTAATCGAATTTATGCCAAATTACAAGTACTATTAAGCAATAATAAGGGAAATTTTGAATTATTATTTATAATTTATTTTATTTTTAATCAATCTATTGAAACTGCCTCTCTATACAATGAACGCTGCGAAATTTCCGCATTGGCTGGCTCCAGCGAATAATAGAATGAAATTCCTTTACCATAAAGATGTTTAAGCCGCTTAGAGATAGAAGTGCAAGTGTGCAAGTGATACTATCTGGTTTTTATAGTGATTAATTTTCTTCAAGATAATTTTATATTTTATAATTTTAAGAATGTGGTCTATATGACTTAGCCAATATTACTTGAGCCATGGTTTTGTATTTATGGAAATAGTAAAAATTTCTAAAAACTGCATGATTTCCTTGAAAAGAAGCTTTTTTATCTGCATGGGAGTAACATAATTCTACATGCTTGTAATATTTGATGATCTAAAATTTAATTGACATTCGTACTGATGAGTGGTTCATGCCTATTGATATGCTTTAGAGCTGAAATCAATTAAAATCGTTTCTTTAATTTCATAATCGAAGAAGGATGTAGTCAAAGAGTTTTTCGAGAAGAATTTATCAAAAAAATCTGATATCTGCAAATACCTACAAATATACTTGCAGATTTCGGTCATTATTATCGCTTCAATTTGAAATTTTTTTCGTTCATCCGATTCCTATGAAAAAGCAAATTTGTTAACGAATAAATATTGGTGATTTTCTCAATCCTCTCGGTGTTTAAATAAATTCATCCAGAAAGTAAACCTTAAACCAGCTTAGAATTTTTATTTAGTTTGAGTTTTTTTCAATCACGCAAATTGCCTATTATGATTTTTGTGCACATTTTATGAAAATCGCTAGAAATCGCTCTTTTCTCAACTTTCAGTTCCTTAATATATTTGTCAGAATTTGCTTCTCATCACTTTTCCCATTTTCCTTGCTTCACTGACCAATCGTCAGAGAGAAAATGACAAAAACGGGTAAAACGGATTTAATAACTCCTTTCACTCCATGAAATTAAGTTATAGGAAATTTTAGGAAAACTAACTCATTTCTAAATTAAGCTTTATCTCGATTATTAATTACATCGATTATCCTAAAATTGCCGTCAAATCCAGATTTTTTTGATCTATTTGATAACTTAGAATCTTTAATCATAACTTTGGATTTTCGAAATTCGAAATCATTTATCTTCGTTTACTGAACAAATATGTTTATAAAACTAAAAAAAATTTTTTTTGTTTCGAAAGTGTATCATTAGTGCATCTGTCCTCGTTTTTTAACGTTCACTTCGACATTCAGCAAGAAGAAAAACAATCAAAATCATTTTTTCTAAAAGGTAAGCTGTAAGCTTGCAAGCGATAAGATAGCTCAGTGGGTTATTATGCCATTTTTGAACGAGGACAATGAAGTTCAAGTTCTATTCTTGCCATCATTAAGCCTATCTTGCAAAAATCCTAATGAAATTAGTGACTATAATTCTATCGCAAATTGGCTGTGATAAGGTTTGTCTCTGGTGAGCATCCTTAGAAAAAAATTTGAAAATTTAAAATCTCTTATAGTTATTAATCATAGGATCCGTTAATTCTCACCAAATAAGAAAATACTTTAATGAATTAATACGTTATTTTTCCTTATTTTTCACGGAATTTTTTTGGAATATATTTTTTTAAAAAATATAATGAAAATCGATTTAATTGTAAAAATGAAGAGAAATGCTAATGCAGAAAATTAAATAATTTGAAATAGAACGTTCAAAAAAAATTGCCTATTCTCTTCTACCTTCATGTCTCTCCTTCACCTTCTTCCTTTTTCCCCTTCTTTTATCGTCCTCTCTGCACCATTAATTCTATATAGAAAATATAAATCAATGGCTCTTAACGTTTTTTGCATCCAAAATTTCTATGAAATGGTTCGGTTTTCAAGAAAAAAAATGGATAAAATTTTTTTTATTGGATAGATTACATTTAAATGAAGAACCATTGCATTCAATCATCATTGATATATAAATTACAAGAAGTTTTTTTTGATTCTCCCTAACTAAAAATTCACTGTAAATTGTTTATGCTAGGGAATGATGAAATGATAAATTGAAGTGCAAAATGGCTATATAAATATTTGATTAGAGGTTGATCTTGATATTATTTATTAACCATTTTAAAATAGACTCGTTCCATTAGTAACGAGTTGCTTATGGAAAATGCAAATGGTACTTAGCCGAATTTGATTTTTTCATCACCTCACTTATGCTAGTGGCTGACTTCAGAACTATGATATTCAAGGTGATAATTTATGCAATAGCTACTCTCATATTTTCATACTGCTTATTTTATTTCATTCCTCTATCAAAATTACAACTTTTATCGATCTTGGTTGATTAGTTATGTTGAGTAGTACAGGCGAAATGTGTCGTACGTTCAAAAGAAAACATATGTCACCACTCACTTGTAGTACTGTGCGAGCATATTCAACTAGAAGTCTTCTAATAAACCGGTTTTTTGTTCATTCATTCGTTTATTTGTCGTCGTATGAACGAACGAACATAGCATAGCGATCGGTCATTAAACGATTTTTCTTTAAAAAAAATTGGTTTCATCTAATCGTTGTGTTTTAAAATCCTTAAGTAACTATCAATTCCAATAAGCTTAATTATTCAATTGCCTTCTTTTTTCAATAAAAAAATTTCAATTCGTTTCTCATAGATTTTTTTTTGAAAAAATTTTTTTCCTTTCTTGTTTCTTTAAATTATTATAAAATTTCACCATAGTATATTTTTATTTCTATTTTCTTTTCCATAATTTGTAGCAATTCATTATTAAAATACTTAAATTAATAGTTTGTGGACGAGCAATAAAACAATTGAATATAAAACATTGCAATCTTTACTTTTGATTTTATTTAAATCTTATAATGTTTCTAACCAGAGTTTCTTATCATTTCTAATTTCTATTGGTTAATTCCGCTGAGGAATAAGGTGGATTCCGAGCAATTTTCTTGGTCATCACTTTTAATGACTCTTTAATGACTCTTCAAGAGAGACGGGATTGTGAAATGTAACTTAGATCATCATGTTAAAACACAGAGGTTTGGACCCCATTAAAAAATTCGTTTGGTCCTGCGATCCATGTACTTCGTTGTCGAATGATTCCTTGATAAAAATTTTTAACCAAATTAACTGAATTTAATAGAACTAGAAGAATGGTGGGCACTTACTGGTTAGTTAATCTTAGCTAAGGATATTTAAGATGTACGTTTGGAATCCATGTTGTTTGAATTCAACTTGAGAAACATATTGTTCGACCATTTATCTATAGTTAAAACTGGAATTATTACAAGTTTACCCTATCATTTTATTTCAATTAAATTATATTATTAATATTATTAATATGCATTTAAAGTCTTAAATGGTTCTTTTGAATGGTTAAGTTTTTTAAGAATTTTAATAAGTCTTAATTTTTTTTCTTGTAATCGATATTTCTTGCAGTCTGAAATTAATTCATGTGATTGTCAACTGTATATGAGTTATAAATCAATGGGAAATAGAAGCGGTATGATTAGCGGTAAATAAGTTAAAAATTGACTTTATATAACCCATAAGTCATCGCTTTGTCCAAGTAAAGCTTTAAGTCCACTTTTTAAATGTAATTTTAAAAGAATCTATGGCAAGACTTTAGAAAAATACGAAGTTTTTCATGAACTTTTAAACTCAACCCAGATAGAGGTTACGATGGTTTTTGGCTTAAACCACGGTGGTCGAGTGGCAAATTGCTTCCACCAAGTATCCCTGGTTCGATTTTTGTCCCAATCTCTTAAACTCTGGAAGGAATAAACTTGCCAACAAAAACAAAATCCATTAAAGAATTTTTAGTAAAAAAAACTATAAAATTTCTAAAAGTATGATTTTATAATAAAATGTAATAATTTTTCATAATAATTGTTTAATAACAATAAATAAATAAAAAGTAAATAATGCAAGGATGATAATTTGATTTAATATTTGTTGGCGTTTTGTGATGATAATAATGATAACAATAATAATGATAATAGTGATTTTTGGAACGCATCATATACCGTTTTTTAATTGAATTTAAACAATCGTTTAGACTCTTTTTTTGCAAAAAAAGCAAAAAAGAAATTTGAAGAAGAAAAAGACGGAAAAAATTCCTGCGTTCTTCTGGTTTCGCTCTTTCATAAGGGAACGAAAGGGAAGGGAAGAGATGTGCACTTTCAATATTGAACGATACTCTTTGGATGATCGAAATTTTTTGTTATTATTTTTCCTTTTTCCATCCTTTCTCTATGTGAAATGTTATAAATTGCATGTCCGAAATT